GTGTGTGTGTGTGTGTGTGTGTGTGTGTGTGTGTGTGTGTGTGTGTGATTGCACATGTGTTAGCAGCTCTGTACTGCATGCATCATTCCTCCCATGCTGCTTAGTTTGACAGTGCAGGTGGTTATGAGGCACTAAGTGGAGGTTCTGTGCCAGTTGAAAGACGGAGCCAGGCGCTGAGAGAGGGAGGGAGGGAGGGAGGGAGGGAGCGGTAAGGAGACAATGGAAGATTGAAAGAATGAAAGACTTAACGCTGGAGCTGAAACTGGTTAGACAGCACCCAGCATGAGGAATCAGTGTGCCGCACACACGCACGTGCACGCCCACACCATCATAGCTTCTCAATGGGGGCCTCGATGTAATTTACAGTGAGCAGGTGGGGATGAATGTTCAATCTGATTCAATTTGATGTGGCTCGTGGTGGAGTGGGATGAGACACCACTCATTCCTCTGACTGTTGTGATAGTTTCTCTGTCTCTCACTCTCTTTCCCTGAATCCCCGAACTGCATACCCCCCCCCCTTTCTTCCTCTTATTTTCTCCTGTCTTCCTCTACATCTCCTCTTATCTCTGTCTTGCACTTACGCTTTCTGTAGCTGCTTTTGGAAGATATCCTTATGTCCTCATATCCATCCGTACATTCACCCATCTGTCCTTCTGTGCATTGATATATGTATCCTGTCTTATTCAGAGTCAGGGTCTAGCCTGTCTGGCAAGTCTCCACCAACTCTGTTTCATGGTGCAAAGACAAACCTTTCACCTGTCTCTCCTTCCGTCTCTCCCACACTCTACCCGTCTGTCCTGTCCTACATTGGGCTCAGAATTGGGTCCAGGGTTTCGTCCGTTGTCCCGGGCAGCCATGGAGATCATGGAGATCTGTAATGTGGACCACACCGGCTGCGAGGACCCTGACCTGGAGTCTGATACTGCTGCACACGCACTCCACGGACTGGAGCAGGAACTCAGACTCATGGCCAAGGGTACAGACACACACAGTGCATCCACAAGTCATGTGATCAACATATTACTCTGGATTTGATTTTTTTTTTTGTGATAATGATAATAATAACAAAACATGGCTGTATTGATGTCAATAATAACAGTGTTTGATGGATTATAAGACACTTTGGTGATGATGGTTTCAAAATAAGGCCAGAGGCATCACCCATCCTCAATATCTACTTCAGAAACATGGAAGCAGGCTTCACTACTTGGTACGGGAGACTGTGGAGGTCAAGATCAGCATGGAAACTCTCGGTTCACACGGTGGGTAACATGCACACACAAACTAAACCCACTCCCACATAAGGGTGTGGAATGTCACTGGTGTTGTGGTCCCCCCACATTTTATAGTGAGGTTCCCAGAAACAAAGAAAAGTGTGAATTACTGGGGTCCTCTTTTTGTAGCAACTATTTTATTCCCAAATTGCCAATAATACTTTTTGCATGTAAAACAGACAAATCTAACAAAATTAGCACATTTCCACTAGGATCACAAACACAGAGCCCCGGATGGTGTTGTTACCGAACCTGAGAAAGTTCATATATTGTGTTCCGCCCTCTTAAAAGTACTACATAGCTGCAGCATAGCTGTTAAAATGTTCTATTTTGATATCCTAAAAGGCAAATGTGTTTTATTTCTCTCTGTGAGAATCTGAGCGTATCCTCATGACTTCCTGTTTTCCTACTGTCGTCTGTCTTTTCACCCTGATCGGCATGTAATCCATTGCTCTCGCTCCCCGTACACTTCCCGACACTGCTCCACTATTCCAATGGTCGCGATGGGGGGTAATCCCTCTTTTTTTGTGCTCCGTCAATCCCTCTTTCTGTCGGATATGTGGAGTGTGTAATGGATCGTTAGCCAGCAGAACGACATTAGCTTTGACAGCATGTTGGTTATCGGGCCTTAATGTGCTGCTTAATGTGTGTGTGTGTGTGAGAGAGAGAGAGAGAGCATTAATGTATTTTTCTTGTATTCCCAAAAGTCTGTGTGTGGGTGTGTGTCTGTATGTTGTTGATGTTTATTATGCGTGTGTATGTGTGAGTAGTGGGCATAATCTGCGCTAGAGGCCTTGTGCTGAGCAGAGCACTGTGAATATCACATTGAGACGTGTAATAACCGGATTAGCACATACTACACAGGGGGCTCCCAAAACAGCTCCTTGCATCCTTCAAACATGCACACACACACACTCACTCACACACACACTAGGACTGTTCAAATTGGCCAAATATGACGTTCGAATGTTTGTTCTTAAAATACATGTGGGATCAACCTTTTCAAATGTCACTTTTATTCGCTGTTTTTTCCGTGTCCTAAGTGGCAGCAAGCGAAGCAGCACTTCACTTTTATAGAACAAAAACAAAAGTTGTATACTTCATTCTTTTCACTTTTCCTCTCCAAACGCAGTTTGTACAATAAGATTGCAAAAGGTTTAATGCAAAAACTGCATCTTGCACGTGTGTTTACCGCACCATCCCCACAGGACCTTTAATTGAATCATATCCTCTCAGCCACCAGGTACTCAGAGAGGCATTATTGCTGAACAACATAGCCATTCTTTTAGATTATGTTGTGCAGTGACTGCTTTTTCATTGCAGAGTAGACGCATGACAATAATGCATGATAATGGAGTTCTACTGTAGAGTGGTCTCTGCTGCCCACCATCATATAGTGTTATCAGGAGTGGGTTTATCAGTTATTCTTGTTGAAAACCTATAAAATAAACATTTATTTTGGTGACTTTTTCCAGTAATAGGACTCTCTAATGCACACCTGCTCAACACACAAGGGGATTCTGTGAGACGTGCAGTATGCACGCATTCATCGATGTGCTTGTCTGCTTAGACCTAACCTATGTTTACCTCAAACGCAGACAGCTTCTATCATCATCTATCTCTGTCTCAACTGCTTCCAGCTGTCTGGCAGTGCTTTAGTGTTGCCTCAGTCTATTGGCTGTCTTTGAGCTAACCTTTAATCAGTGAGTACTTGCACAGCAGTATCACATTAATGTTTGGAGAATGGACGTATTCTGAATTTTCTGATGATCAGTTTATACAGTCCAGTATCAATATTAACCTAACAAGAAACTTTATATTAGTTTTTAAAAAGCTCAAGTTAGACACCGAGGATTCACCATCATACACTGAGAGATTTCCTCCTCATTCTGTGTTTGCTTCATTGGTAGTATAATACTCTGAATGTGATTTAAATGCATGTATATATTAGTATCGGCTGAACTCTGTTTATAATTTGAATACATTTTACAATATGAAAAACGTGGGCTGTAATGGGTTCTTCGTGACTATTTTGACAGACTTCCTGTAAAGCTACTGCTCTCTTGTTGATGGTTACACTCATTCACAGCTGTGAATGCGTTAGCAGCTACCACATTGGCATGCATGTGATTATTTACAATACTGAAGGTTATGATACAAATGGTGAGTGGGAATGCGTAGTCAGTTGTGGACTTTATCAAAGATCCAGCTGTCAACAAGCTCATTAAAGCAAAGCAAAGGAAACTTTTTGTGATGCTTCCAAAGACATACTCAGTAAACTAATGAATATCAACAAGCAAGCAACACATCCTGTTTGGACACCTGTTTTGAACACTATTATAAATTCAATGCTGGAGTCACTCATCAAACATCTGAGGGAAGAAATGTAATGCTTGATTTGCTTGATGACATTAATAGATAGACAAAAAAAAAACTGGTTTTATAATTGAATTATATAATCTGTTTGAGGATTAGTATCACTGCAGGCTGAGTTGACACCAGTGTTAGATCAGGTGGGCACTGTGGATGGCACTGATATGCTGTCTTTATAGAATCCAAATTTAATTTGGCCTTGTCATAGTCGGATGCAAACTGGAAGAGGCATCTCCAAAATGTCTCAATAAAAAAGCATGCACGCTCCATTGGTGTGGTTAATTGTAGCTCCTGTATGTGAGGGTTTTAAAATGGTCAGTGCACTCTTATTTACAACATTTCCCGCTTCCTGTTCTTTAGTGGCAGAGACATTTCACACACAAAGCATAATTTGTAGGTGAATTCATTACGGGAGTCAGTAGGCTGTCAAACCACAACCCTGATGACGACCACTGCAGGTGTTCCTGGAGCTAAATCTCTGAAACTAGTTACAGAAGGACATCTGTCCTTTACCTTTATTTCACTACTGTGCATGCAGGATGTTCGTTCTGCCTTTGATTGGTTGATTTGGTGTTGCAGGGGCAGAGCCAGCGACGAACAGAATGATGAGGAGGAGGCCGCTACACAGAGAGACCGGCAGAGTGTTCTCTTACTACCCTGAGATATTCACACGCATGCACACAAACACACACACACACTTGCTTGTTAATTAAGGAAGCATACATGCACACGGATGTAAGAGACTAAAGTGAGCAAAAACAAACTGTGTTCATGTGGTGTAAAGACTGGTGCAGATGCCCCTAAAACTAAATCTGTGGGGAACTCTTGTGCAAGATGACTACAAAAATGTAATCGATTAAATACAGTTTTGATTTGAGTCATTAATCTCCTCTCTTTTTTTTTTACGTGTCCGTGTTTTCTATGCACAGTTTACAGTATGTTCCACTTATACGTGAAAAGTGGCTGTGAGATACATGCTTGCGGATGGATAAGCTGAAGGTATAAAGCAAATGATGAGACAGGCAAAGGACGGCAGTTGCGTTAAATTTTCCGCAGGAGTCTGCTCGGATCCCCTCGTGTGTTTGTCACTGTGTGTGCATGTTTGTGTGTGTTAGGTGACAGACGTTGAGGGACAGAGTGCCAGTTTGACCCACTGGGATTGGAACGCGCTACATTTTTCTCTGTTATCTGTTTGTTTCTTAATAAGGTTAGGGCGCCACTGGATCAGGTCAGACTGTCTACACACGCGCACACACACACACACACACACACACTGAAGACGCTGCTGCAGGTGATGAATTATGTTTGTAAGGGAGGGAACAAGGAGCTGTGCCAATGGCCGCTGTTACCATCTGTCTGTATGTGTGTGCAGGAGCTGGGGAAGATAAACACCAGGCACTGGAACTGGTTTGTCGTCTCTGTGGTGTTTACATGTTGGTGTGTGGTTATTTTATTTTTTCTTTCTCAGCTCTGCTGTTTTGCATTACTCCCCAAAGCCAGGCCTAATCTATCATGGCTGCCACTGTCCTCAACTGAGTTCAAAACCCACCATCCACTGCTTTATCTCTAGCTGGTGTGCATGCGAGGACTTGGGTGTATGGATGTCAAGGGTGCCAACATTGTGTCTGTGAATATGAGTGTGAGTGCATTTGGCCCTACTCTACCTCAGTCACTGTGGAGGGATAGAAGGGTACTCTATTTGTCCCAACGTTAATCGCTAGAAGCGGACAGCAAAAGCCCTGTAATCCAATAGCAATCACCACAAGACTGATTGATAGCACAGCGACAGAGGGAGAACGACAGAGAGACCAAGATGCAGACAAGGAGAGAGAGAGAGGTTAAAAGGTAGATCTTTGTTATTGTGTCCTTCACTGAGTTTATCACACACTGTTTAGGAGAGAAAAATAACAGAGACATAAATCTGATGGATATCGAACCGCTATGGCTCGGTTTAAACAACTCTGAGATCTTAACTCTCCCTCCGTCTCTCATTCTTTCTCCCTCGCCCCCGCATTCACCCCCGCATGCATACAAACAGGGAGAGAGGACGGCAAAATACGGCTGACCTTTGTTAGATTTGGAGTTGTCTGTGATGTTGTCGATGCTGTCAGAAAGACAGTGAAACTGGACGAGTTGACATTTAACTGCGCTATATTAACTGACCCTTCGCTGGAACTGGAGTTCAGGCTGGGTGTGTTGTGGAAAATTTTTTTACCTGTTGGGGTGAATTTTGTAAACTTTTTCTTACACTAGATACACAGAACACAGTGGACGTTGGTGGTAAATCTGATAACAGAATGCAGTTCTCTGCCACCCCCCTCTCTGTCTCTCCAAAACTCACTGTGATTTTTTTTTTTTTTTTTTTTTTTTTTTTTTACCACGTTACTTATTTGGGTTTTCATGGGTTTTGGCATTTTCGTTGACAGCAAGTTGAACAGTGGAAACATTTTGTTTTGCTTTCGGCTAAAACTTAATGAAACTTAAAATGTCCATTTAAGTTTCCTCACCCAGAATGCCCTGAGAGGACTCGCTTGCTCACAGAGTCTCACAAGTCACCTGCTGGGAACTGCGAGGGACAGCAGCTGCGTCCATGTGTGACAATTTGAGTCCACAAATAAACTGTGAAATTGGTGAAATGGAAGAATGAGCACCCCGAATGTAGAAAGGCATTGTTTTCACTATACTTGTTATTTACTTTACAGTCATTTTATGAACTCTTAAAGGAATATTTTATTGTGCAAACTTGTAGTCTATGTTGTGCGTTTTCTGTAGGAACCCCATCACCAAAAAATGATGTATTTTACAACTAAGTGTTTTTTTTGCCAAATTTGTTTTTGAGGAATTGCTGCATGGATTATGCTCTCTGATAACATGTTCCCACAAATATAGTCTATTAACCATGAAGTGTAAGACAGGTTGTGGCCTGCATCCCACATGTATGAGGGTTAGATTACTGAATTTATTTGATGAAGGTGAGTGAAAGATGGTAATTTTGGTTAAATATTGATAAATGGTCGGTCGTGCTTTAGTTGCCACAATGGAGTAAAATGTTTCCTTATTACGATAAAAAAACGTATCTGGGCAGCATTATATTCATTTCAAACATATTTACTGCTGCAAGTTAGTGTTGTGGGACTACAAACCTAATATTCAGGCATCTGTGGGTTTGGATGTATCGGCAAATTATATATTGTGATATTTCTGACCAAATACAGTTCTAGAGGCCTACTGCATGATGTGACAATATAATGTAGAGATATTGAATATATATGTTTATTCTGTAGCAGACAAAAAGAGCAATCTAACTCAGTTGGATAGGAGGTAGCCTATTATAAATAAAAATCCATGTCTGTGTTTGAGCTTTGATGATAAGGGACAATGCATCTTGATGATCAAAATAACGGGAATATTCGATTGTCAAGTTCTAGTATCACGTCGGTGTCCTTACGGCGCAGAGAATGCACTTCTGCTTATACTCGTCTTTACTGCTCGACAACAACAAGATTACTCTTGACCCTGACAAAAGATCACGAGCGCACGCCATCACTCTTTTTATATTTTAACCTTTACGCCTCTCCGAGCACACCATCCACACCTGTGTATGAATGACTGCCTTCTTACCTTCTGTGTTTGTCGGGGGGTTGGAGGCACATTTGCCGTGGATGTGCCATCTAATCGTGTCCCATGTTGTCTATTGTGAGCCCTGCTGCCTCATTACAGGAGACGGAGAATACGTGTGGTGTCTGTCATCTGTGAAACATAAAAAGCCTCCTCGCTACTTAGTCTGTGTGGGCCGTCGTATGTGTCTACCCTATTATTCCCAGGCTCCGAAAAGAAGGAGCAGCGACGTGTAACACGGGTGTGAAAAGATTTTGGCAAACAGCGAGTGATAATAAGGGGATATCTTGTTTGTGCATGTATGAGCGCAGCGTATTTCTATGAGCATGTATGTGGTGTATATGCTCATAGAAATACACTGGAGGCATAAGTTGACTAGATGGATGGTTAGATAAAAATGCCTCAAGCCAGCTATCTTAACGTTTTATTGCACTAGAACCCAACGGATTCCATATATTCTTGACTTAATCAACACAAATCCCTGTTTGGTGGACATACAGTATTATTAGTTGTCTCCCGGTCGTGTCCCTGTGGTGTCCTCGCATGTTGCAGCCTGCACAACTTTAACTTAGTTGTGGCCTCGAAATTCCTTTCAAGGGTATAGCCCCACCTGTACTTAAATGACCCCCGTACGCTGGAGATGGAAGTACAGTACGCCCTGGACAGAGAGTTCAGGCGGAGAGAGAGTTATAATAGAGGGGAGGAGAGAGAGAGGGGGAGATGGAGTGAGAAAATACAAAGAACAGAGAGGTTGAGGAAGTGGAGAATAGAAATTAAAGAAAGGGGAAGGGTGGACATGAAAGAAATGGGACGGCACATGGAGGGAGAACGCTTTGTAGTTTGATAAGGGCATTCATTTGCCCCCCCTTCCTTTTACAGGTCTATATTTCTCTCCCCCTCCTCCCTCTGTCTCTTATTTCCACCCTTTTCTTCTTACACTTACTCTGCAATTCCTCCTTCAACCATTTCCAGCTACCTTCTCCACTTCAGTCCTCCCCGCTTTCTCCTTCACGCCCTTCGTCTTCCCTTCCTTTCCAACATGCCCTTCCCGATTCCATCTCTCCTTTCCTCATGTCCTCCAATCTCATCTTCCCACCTCTCCATTCCTTTCTCCTTTTAATCCTTCCATTTGTCCCCTCACCCTCCTGTTCGGCGGCGGGGTCCCTGTGCCCTGACTGAGCCACCGGGACCTGCTGACAAATCGATACATCACTGTAATTGATTCTGTCGGGCCTCAAAGTGTTCAATGAGAGCCCCTCCCCCTCCTCCTCCTCTCTCTACTCCCCACCATTTCTTTTTTTTTTGCCACGTGGGCTTCGGCACAGTCCAGCTCAACGGTAAATGGAGCGGAGGCATCCATGTGCAGCGAAGGGCTGCCGGTGGTGGGTGAGGGAAGGGCGCTGGGGGTGTTGAGGCAGGTGAGGGGGTTTGGGTGGAAGGAAGGCAAGTTGGAGGGTTGAGGGTTAATCGGAGCAGTTCCCAAGGTAAAGGATCGGCCCATCTGGTTAATTAGGACAGGTAAAGGCTCGATGTAGAATGTGTGGACATGGGGGAAAAAAGAACCATGTGCCAGGTGGGAAGGGAGAGCATGTGTGTGTGTGTGTGTGTGCGTGTGTGTGTGCAACGGGGTGCGGTCATATGTTCTTTTAGTTGCTCGCAGCTCCTCTTTGACGACATCATGGTGATAACCTGTTGTTTGCAGTTCCATCAATTACAGCCTATTCTATGTTTGACCAACTGCTGCAGGGGATCAACAGATGCACACACGCTCACCCACAGATGGCAGGAATAGCATTAAGCGAGCACGAACCATAAAAGAGAGGCTGCAGCAGAAAAGTGAATGTGGAGATATGAGGCTGAATTGGAACAAAACAAAAAGCAGAAGCATCCAAGATTAAAAGACATATTTTTTTATTATTATTATTTTTATAGATACAGCACAGGAGATCAGGGAGCGGAGGAGAGAAGAGGGAGAGATGGAGGGTGATATAGAGTGTTTGCAAGCCGGAGCTTATTTTTCGTGTGTGTGTGTGTGTGTGTGTGTGTGTGTGTGTGTGAGGGTGTGGAATCTTATGGACAGTGAATCATTAATATCAGCAGCCTGTAAGACACTAATGAATAACACGGGAATATATCAGCTCATCGTTTGCTTCTCTCCTCTCCCCTTTGCTCTTCACTCTGCGCTCTCTCTCTCTCTCTCTCTCTCTCTCTGCACTAGATTCATTTCTTCCAGCTTTAATGAGAAACACCTGCTAGAACTCCTCGTTAGGCATCCCTTGTTTAGGTCCCTTTAGACTTCTAGTCCCTCTTGTCTGTACTGTGTGTGTGTGTGTGTGTGTGTGTGTGTGGCTCCTAGCTTTGGTTCAAATATAAAAAAAATATACACTTTTGAGGACAACATCTTGCAATCTCCAAGATACAGAAGGTGATGTTTTGGTTTGTCGGATTGTTAGAGTTAAAAATTTAGTGGACAGAGGAAGAAAAGACTGGTTTTGTCAATGCTGGAAAAGCTGAGTATACTACATTAGAATGTTTTTGCAGTGCAGTACAATTTATGTGCATACTATGTTGTTTTATTTACATATGATAAATTCGACCTGGAGTGTGTATGTGGGTAATATTTCACCCCAACACTGTACGGTTGGTAATTACCTTGTTCCTGTTTGTTATGTACCCATGATGTGGGTTCTGAAGTGTCCTTTTTTTCCTATGCAGATTTAAGTATTTTTATTTGCAATAGACACAGGAGATAAACTGTGAAGCGTCACCTTTATGCAACATTTGCTCTTTTGAATGAAAGATAAGGGCGTCCTCATGATTACTGTAGAGGGGCGTCCTCAGAATACAGAATGTCCATGTCTACAATACACCATATCCTGCGATTTCATGATGAGTTAAATGTCTGAGGAGCACATTTCATTTCCCACCTCTACCTTTTAATGCTAATCCTGTCCGTGTGGGGCTTCATTCACACGCGTGTCCTCTTAGCTGGCATGCTAACGGTGTAGCAAACAGTAATCCTGCTGTCAGTGGTCACCTGGTTTCGGAGGGCCCTGCAGCGTCACTGTGAGGACTTAGCGTTGGTAGTGCTGTGTGCGGTCACTGAGGCCAACATTAAACTAGCTGTTGATGGTCAGTAAATACCTCTAATGCTGGATGGCTGCTTGTTAAACCACGAGGTCTTGAGCCCAATTTACATGCATGAAGGTGTGTTTCATTAGAAGT